GCCAAGCGCCACGCGCCTGGGGCCGGTGCTCCCGCTCCCCCCCCCCTCCCGCCGGCACTCACCGGGCGCCACGTGCCTGGGGCCAGCCCCAAGCACCGTGTCAGGGATCAGGTATGTATGCGCGGCGTACAACACGACCCCCCCATTTTTGGGGGATGTTTTTTAGTGTAAAAGGTCGTGTTATACGCCGGAAAATACAGTACTAAATTACCAGAAAGGACAAAGGATGGAACTTTTGGGCCAAAATCAGAATAAGAGTGGAAAGATATTTTTATTTTTAGCTTTCAGTTCTCCTGGGAGGATTTAGTGATTGTCTCTTAGGTCTTTTTCTTTCCTATTGTCATTCCACCTGTGGGTGGAAACTAAGGCCTGCCGCACAGGCATCTCCTGATTAAATGATTGTGCTTTGGTAGTCAAAGATTTTTCTTCGATGTTTTTCAAGACTGATTTGTTACTGTTTGGTCGATTGACTCAATACTATGCTGCACACATTTCAAGGGATGAAGTCCTTCAGCATGCGTTGTCTCGGACTAGCTGCTCTATACTAGTCTATTTCTGCCTTGCATGCAAAAATTCAGGCTGATCAAAAATTCAAATGGCCAGATTTTATACGTCATCATGGATCCATTGAAGTCAAAGGAGACAGGCCAGTTTGCACCATCTTGCCATCTGTGGTATGCTTGCCACACTGATGTCTGGAGTAGCTGAATGCCGTTATTCTGGTTTCCTTCTGTTAGAAGATTTACAGTTTTCTACTGGGGGCGAAGAGTGGGGAGCCAGGTCAGGGTGCTGAGGTGTTACAAGGCTTTGAAACAGGAATGGTGTTTAAACAATTACAAAAAAATAAGACTCCTGGGTACTTGGATTGTTATTGAAAAAGCTGGTTTCATCATTTCTGGCCGACTTTACCTGGTTTTTAATCAGTGGGCCAAGTTCACCTCTGATGCAACAACACTGGTATCAGATGAGTTACAGATTTAACACATTAGGACTAAAATGTGCGTGTAGTCCAACTCTTCCTGTGGCTGGCATTTCTGGGGTCCTAAGGCAGGGGGAGGGGAGGAATAGTTATTTTTGTGAAAAGGTCACATACCATTTTGGCACCAGTCTTGAGCCATTCCTTTTTGTGTTAGCCCGCTAAACAAGCTGGCATGGAGCTGTTGCAACACAGTCCAGTCCAGTCAGCACACTACATCTACACTATATGCTTCGTGCACAAGAAGCCTTTTGCACAAGAGCTTGCGCAAGAGCACATCCACACCTCAATGCACATCGCAAAAGATGTGCTTTTGCACAAGAGAGCGTCCACAGTGCATGGAGGCTCTTGCACAGAAAGCTCTGATGGCCGTTCACAGAATGGCCATCAGAGCACCTCTGCTTTTTCCCATAGGGGTTTCTTGTGCAAGAAACCCCTCTGGAGCATCTACACTTGCCTTTTTGCGCAATAGCTGTAGTGCAAAAAGGAGTTATGCCTCGTAAAAGGAGGTTTACCTACACCAGCAAAAGTCCTCTCTTCTGATGTTTAACTGTTGATTTACTTGCACAAAAGTGCATTTGAGGTGTGGATGCTCCGCGGGATTTGCTTAAAAACAGCTGTTTTTGCACAAAAACCTTGCAGTGTAGACGTAGCCTATTGAATCTGGAAAAGGCAAAAGAGGACTGCGGGACAGTCTTCTTCAGACTTTTTAAGAATCATTTTGAGAAATGGGCCTTTTCAAACCCCGTGCCTTTCTGGGGAAATAAAAAACTGGACAATAGTCTTGTCTTCCTGGGTAGGAATCCAAAATCTCATAAACTATTTGGACTGTGGTAGTTAGAGATGTGATGATTAGATAATCTAATCCTTCCTCTGGCAAAGATAGAGGTCCTAAGGCTAGAGCTCCCTGTGCATTATCTGCTACTGCGCTTGATCATGCTCACTATGGTTTGGCACATGCATAAAGGTTCATCCAGGTGCCTTCTGATCCCCAGCATGGTCTGCAGAAAGCATTTTGCATTATGGGTTAAGCCTTCTTGGGGTCAGTGCAGGAAGGCAAAGGAAGGTAATAACATTCAACATGCTGAGGCTTATTGAGTGACAGAAGCAGAGATGTAGCCAGGATGGGACAAGTGGGTGGGCCTTGACTTCAGGTGGGCGGGCAGTGATGGGGCCACCTCTCCTCCCTGCCCCCCGCTAGCCATGGGGAAGGGAGGGAAGTTACCCTGGCCAGATCCCCTACTCCACTCCAGCCACCGACTGCTCTCGTGGGGAG